TCGGGAAACCCGAAAACCCCCGAATTTCTATACCGGTAAACCATAGATATCCGAAAATTTTCGGATATCTATGGTTTACCGGTATAGAAATTCGGGGGTTTTCGGGTTTCCCGAAAAAATTCGGGAAACCCGAAAACCCCCGAATTTCTATACCGGTAAACCATAGATATCCGAAAATTTTCGGATATCTATGGTTTACCGGTATAGAAATTCGGGGGTTTTCGGGTTTCCCGAAAAAATTCGGGAAACCCGAAAACCCCCGAATTTCTATACCGGTAAACCATAGATATCCGAAAATTTTCGGATATCTATGGTTTACCGGTATAGAAATTCGGGGGTTTTCGGGTTTCCCGAAAAAATTCGGGAAACCCGAAAACCCCCGAATTTCTATACCGGTAAACCATAGATATCCGAAAATTTTCGGATATCTATGGTTTACCGGTATAGAAATTCGGGGGTTTTCGGGTTTCCCGAAAAAATTCGGGAAACCCGAAAACCCCCGAATTTCTATACCGGTAAACCATAGATATCCGAAAATTTTCGGATATCTATGGTTTACCGGTATAGAAATTCGGGGGTTTTCGGGTTTCCCGAAAAAATTCGGGAAACCCGAAAACCCCCGAATTTCTATACCGGTAAACCATAGATATCCGAAAATTTTCGGATATCTATGGTTTACCGGTATAGAAATTCGGGGGTTTTCGGGTTTCCCGAAAAAATTCGGGAAACCCGAAAACCCCCGAATTTCTATACCGGTAAACCATAGATATCCGAAAATTTTCGGATATCTATGGTTTACCGGTATAGAAATTCGGGGGTTTTCGGGTTTCCCGAAAAAATTCGGGAAACCCGAAAACCCCCGAATTTCTATACCGGTAAACCATAGATATCCGAAAATTTTCGGATATCTATGGTTTACCGGTATAGAAATTCGGGGGTTTTCGGGTTTCCCGAAAAAATTCGGGAAACCCGAAAACCCCCGAATTTCTATACCGGTAAACCATAGATATCCGAAAATTTTCGGATATCTATGGTTTACCGGTATAGAAATTCGGGGGTTTTCGGGTTTCCCGAAAAAATTCGGGAAACCCGAAAACCCCCGAATTTCTATACCGGTAAACCATAGATATCCGAAAATTTTCGGATATCTATGGTTTACCGGTATAGAAATTCGGGGGTTTTCGGGTTTCCCGAAAAAATTCGGGAAACCCGAAAACCCCCGAATTTCTATACCGGTAAACCATAGATATCCGAAAATTTTCGGATATCTATGGTTTACCGGTATAGAAATTCGGGGGTTTTCGGGTTTCCCGAAAAAATTCGGGAAACCCGAAAACCCCCGAATTTCTATACCGGTAAACCATAGATATCCGAAAATTTTCGGATATCTATGGTTTACCGGTATAGAAATTCGGGGGTTTTCGGGTTTCCCGAAAAAATTCGGGAAACCCGAAAACCCCCGAATTTCTATACCGGTAAACCATAGATATCCGAAAATTTTCGGATATCTATGGTTTACCGGTATAGAAATTCGGGGGTTTTCGGGTTTCCCGAAAAAATTCGGGAAACCCGAAAACCCCCGAATTTCTATACCGGTAAACCATAGATATCCGAAAATTTTCGGATATCTATGGTTTACCGGTATAGAAATTCGGGGGTTTTCGGGTTTCCCGAAAAAATTCGGGAAACCCGAAAACCCCCGAATTTCTATACCGGTAAACCATAGATATCCGAAAATTTTCGGATATCTATGGTTTACCGGTATAGAAATTCGGGGGTTTTCGGGTTTCCCGAAAAAATTCGGGAAACCCGAAAACCCCCGAATTTCTATACCGGTAAACCATAGATATCCGAAAATTTTCGGATATCTATGGTTTACCGGTATAGAAATTCGGGGGTTTTCGGGTTTCCCGAAAAAATTCGGGAAACCCGAAAACCCCCGAATTTCTATACCGGTAAACCATAGATATCCGAAAATTTTCGGATATCTATGGTTTACCGGTATAGAAATTCGGGGGTTTTCGGGTTTCCCGAAAAAATTCGGGAAACCCGAAAACCCCCGAATTTCTATACCGGTAAACCATAGATATCCGAAAATTTTCGGATATCTATGGTTTACCGGTATAGAAATTCGGGGGTTTTCGGGTTTCCCGAAAAAATTCGGGAAACCCGAAAACCCCCGAATTTCTATACCGGTAAACCATAGATATCCGAAAATTTTCGGATATCTATGGTTTACCGGTATAGAAATTCGGGGGTTTTCGGGTTTCCCGAAAAAATTCGGGAAACCCGAAAACCCCCGAATTTCTATACCGGTAAACCATAGATATCCGAAAATTTTCGGATATCTATGGTTTACCGGTATAGAAATTCGGGGGTTTTCGGGTTTCCCGAAAAAATTCGGGAAACCCGAAAACCCCCGAATTTCTATACCGGTAAACCATAGATATCCGAAAATTTTCGGATATCTATGGTTTACCGGTATAGAAATTCGGGGGTTTTCGGGTTTCCCGAAAAAATTCGGGAAACCCGAAAACCCCCGAATTTCTATACCGGTAAACCATAGATATCCGAAAATTTTCGGATATCTATGGTTTACCGGTATAGAAATTCGGGGGTTTTCGGGTTTCCCGAAAAAATTCGGGAAACCCGAAAACCCCCGAATTTCTATACCGGTAAACCATAGATATCCGAAAATTTTCGGATATCTATGGTTTACCGGTATAGAAATTCGGGGGTTTTCGGGTTTCCCGAAAAAATTCGGGAAACCCGAAAACCCCCGAATTTCTATACCGGTAAACCATAGATATCCGAAAATTTTCGGATATCTATGGTTTACCGGTATAGAAATTCGGGGGTTTTCGGGTTTCCCGAAAAAATTCGGGAAACCCGAAAACCCCCGAATTTCTATACCGGTAAACCATAGATATCCGAAAATTTTCGGATATCTATGGTTTACCGGTATAGAAATTCGGGGGTTTTCGGGTTTCCCGAAAAAATTCGGGAAACCCGAAAACCCCCGAATTTCTATACCGGTAAACCATAGATATCCGAAAATTTTCGGATATCTATGGTTTACCGGTATAGAAATTCGGGGGTTTTCGGGTTTCCCGAAAAAATTCGGGAAACCCGAAAACCCCCGAATTTCTATACCGGTAAACCATAGATATCCGAAAATTTTCGGATATCTATGGTTTACCGGTATAGAAATTCGGGGGTTTTCGGGTTTCCCGAAAAAATTCGGGAAACCCGAAAACCCCCGAATTTCTATACCGGTAAACCATAGATATCCGAAAATTTTCGGATATCTATGGTTTACCGGTATAGAAATTCGGGGGTTTTCGGGTTTCCCGAAAAAATTCGGGTTCAATAAACCCGAATCCGAATTTTACCAAAAAAAATTTTTTGCACACCCCTAATTTTGACCTTCCAGCAACTTCTCCAAGTTTCTTTTCCATCCAGTGCCATCAGAGTGGCTATAGCCCAATAGCAGACGTTTCAGCAGCAGCATTGGCCGCATTCAGACTGGCAGTTTGGCGCGGCAGGCAAACGTTTCAGTAGCGGATTAAAGGGGTGGATTCACATAGCCACATGTTTCAGGTGTCCCCCAGCCGTACTCAAGCCGTCTTGTGCCACTTCCGAATTTAAAAGATATCATGTTAAAGTGGTAGCAAACTGTGTATAGAGCGCATTGATTCCGGTTCCGAGTGTGAACACAAGCGCTGCTAAGGCGGGAACAACCTGCAGTCATTGATAATAGGCACCAGCTGTGTCTGCAGGCAGGCGCCCTATTTGCTGCTGTGCCCATGCACATGGGCACATGCAACCCAGTGTGGAAACAGCCAATAACAGGCCTCCAGGGCGGGCCAACAGTGTGAACGCTCCCTTGCGCTTCCTTCACAGTATCCTCCCACTGAACGGGAATACTGCAACCAAGCCATTCCAGGTCTATTCCGGGTTTTCTTTGCCATGACTCCCTAGCACTTCAAATTGCCATTCTGAACTCGGCCGTTGTCCCTCTGAAACATTCCAAAAGAGGGGAGGAAAGCTTCCACCAGGTAGAGCTTTAAGATGCATGGGAAAGAAGCGTCCAGGAAAGTCTTTGACAGAGGCTAATCTTCATTATTCACAGTTACTTTAAGAGTATTGGCAATGATAGGCGATTTGGTGCTGCAGTTTTATTAATTTTTACTTATCTTGGGTTGTATCTGTTTGGCTGCATGCTGTTTTCTTAAATTGATTCTGAGCTTCCTTGAATGGGGGGAGCAGCATATAAATATTTAAATAAAATGTTTAAATGGCACACTAAGGGCACAACTAAACTACATATACTTAAAATCATCCCCCAAGAACACAGGAACTGAAGGTTTTGATCAAGGTTGCTGAAAGTTTAACAGATATTTTGAATGTCTTCACAGATCCATTACTTAAGGAATTTTGGTCTGAGAACTGTGAATGTTACAATGATCTGAAACACATTCAAGTATGTAGAGCAGACAAGCAGGAAGCAAGGCTGTCAACCATTTAGTAAAATCTGACTGAAACTAACAAAAATTCATTGTATTTGTTATAAATAAGTAAACTGTTATTTCAGAAAAGAACATTGGTATGAAGATGTCTCAAAGTAACAGACTTTGCTAGCAGCTATATTCTATGGCACATATGGGGGGGGATTATTATTTTTGTTTTAGAAGCTGTTTGAATGATGAAGCATTTCAAGTAATCTTTCCCCAACATTTCCAAGAAGCCAAAGCTAACATATTAACATAATTCTATCAATTTCATCCTATTCTGATAATCCACACATAAACAGAAATTATAATAATCATAAAGTTTAGCCAAAAAAAATCCAACACATTAATTTAAAAAGGCAACCTCACCTGGAAGCTATACAACAGATTATCAAAAATATCAGTTTACAAGCTAGACCTTTAAAAAGCGGTCCTACAACAAGAATAAAAAAGAATATTTTCTGTGGATAATCTACAATCTACTCTTACCTGTATGCATCGTCTTCCTTCAAATCTCATATCATCCTGGGGGGGGGGGGCAGGGGAGGCCACCAGTAAACACTGTGAACACACAGAAATATTAGAGTTAGACAATATCAGCAGATCCCTGAAAATGCACAATAAGAACTGGGTTTGTGTTATAGCCATTTGCTACTAGAACAGACAAGTACAACAGCAACTTATGCAACCAATCTCAGAGAGAACAAGGGAACATTTAAACATTATGGTCACTACACAAATGCGAATGAAAATGTCTGTATACACAAGAACTCCAAATCTAGGGCCTAATGTTCAAAAGCTACTCACTATGAACAGTATTGCAACTGCATCAAGAGCCTCCATGCTGCCACCAACACATTCTTCTCCACGTACTTGAGGCAATCCAACTTGTGAGTAGCTTATAAAAACTATGGCACAGTATGGAACTACTGTCATATTCTAAATATCACCATATGGTGGCCACAGCATTTTTATCAGTCCTAAATATTCTAAGGATGGAGCAGAAATATAAACTACAATAAACGGAAAGCATTTTTTATTATTTTTCTGGAGCAAAAAATCTACTATTTAATATGCCTCCTGACACAGCTTTTCTAGTACAGACATCTTAATCACAGAGGCTGTATTTTTATCCCAAGTATGTATAGCACCTACAGGAACACCATGGGGGGACTTTAGGCTGCAGCAAGAGAAGAAGACTCTGAGACCCATTCCAGTCTGGCTTCAGCCCTGGCTATGAAGCTCTGGAGGCATCTGGACCGAGGTGAATCAGCACTGCTGGTGTTACCTGACCTAACAGCGGCATTTGACAAGGTCGATTATGACCTTATGGTCCACTGCCTTGCCAAGGTGGGGATACAAGGGGCTGCTTTGCAGTGGCATTTCTCAATGGTCAAGTGCAGAGGGTGACAATTGGGGAGAGAGTTTCACCGCGCTACCCTCTGGTGTGTGGCATCTCACAGGGGACAATCCTGTCCCCTAAGTTATTTAACATCTATATGCACCCCCTCGTCCAGTTGGACTGGAGTTTTGGTCTGGGCTGTCACCAGTATGCTGATGACACCCAGCTGTACCTGTTGATGGACGGACAACCGGACACTGACCCAGAGGTTCTAGATAGGTCATTAGGGGCTGTGGCTGGTTGGGTGCAGCAGAGCTGTCTGAAATTAAATCCAATGAAGATGGAGTTCCTGTGTCTGAGTTGCAGAGGAGTGGAGTTAGGGATCCAGCTCCCAACCCTTGATGGGGTGCTATTGATGCCATCGCCAATGGTGAAGAACTTGGGCGCATGGTCTTGGATAACTCACTTTCTGTGGAGGCCCAAGTCACAGCCATTGCCTTTTATCATTTTCGGCTGGTCAGGCAGCTAGTTCCCTATCGCTCTCCCCATGCCTTAGCCAAAGCAATCCATGCAATGGTCAAGGCTGGATTACTGTAACTCACTCTATGCAGGGCTGCCCTTGAGGTTGACTCAGAAACTCCAACTGGTTCAAAATGCAGCGGTGCATGTACTTACTAGGACACCTCCCAAAGCACATATACAACCAGTGCTCTGACCACTGCACTGGTTTCCATTGGAGTACCAAACGTAGTTCAAGATTATGGTATTAACCTTTAAAGCCCTGTGTGGTCTGGGACCAACATATCTGCAGGACCACCTCTCCTACTGTGTCCTTCAAAGAGCATTGCATTCATCAGATCAAAATCTACTGGTGGTCCCTGGCCCAAAGGACATCCGCTTAGCCTCGACCAGAGCCAGTCTTTCTCAGCTCTGGCTCAGGCCTGGTGGAACACTCTCCCAAGTGAGATCAGGGCCATGCAGGATCTTCTTCAATTCCGCAGGGCCTCTAAAATGGACATGTTCTGCCAGGCCTTTGGTCGAGGCAGCAGGTGTCCAGTTAAGTGTAGTGATTAAAAGTGGAGGACTCTAATCTGGAGAACTGGGTTTGATTTCCCACTCCTCCACATGCAGCCAGCTGGGTGACCTTGGGTCAGTCACAGTTCTCTCAGAGCTGTTCTCTCAAAGCAGTTCTCTCAGAGCTCTCTCAGCCCTACCACCTCACAGGGTGTCTGTTGTGGGGAGAGGAAGGGAAGGAGATTGTAAGCCATTCTGAGACTCTGAGTGAAGGGCAGAGTATAAATCCTCCTCATCATCATCTTCTTCTTCACCCTGCTCTGGCCTGGTATGATATGATCAGTGATTACCCACCATCCAGCTGGTTAATTACAGGCACACCCTTCTGAAGATTGGAGCAAAACACACTTATGCCTACTTGCCATTTTATATGCTGACTTACTCATTATTGTTTGTATAATGTAACCAATTAAGTGTTTTTTAAAAAGCGATTTTATTTTTATATAAGGCAAACAAACATACATACATACAGATATGGGGGAGTTCCATTTACAACCTTATTTTGTCTGTTAAATTACCTCATACATTAACAAGTTATGTTCTTTTTATTTTTTTCCACCTTCTATTTTGAACTAAATCTTTGTTCATAACTAAAAAGAAAGTTATAGTTCACATTTCCTTGTGCTTCGGTTGTATGTCCATATGATTTAATTGTCGTGTTCTTCCATCCATTTGTAAAACCTTGACCATGTATTCTCAAAGTCTCTTTCGTTTTGACCTCTCAAAATTAAAGTTAGTTTGTCCATCTATGCAGTTTCAAGTATTTTATTAATAATTTCTTCTTTTGAAGGTAACTCATTTTTCCTCCAGTATTTGGCATATATATTCTTGCAGCTGTCACTACATGTATAATAAGATAAGCATCTTGCTTTTAACAATTTTCTGGTAATATATTCAGTAAGAACAATTCTGGTATATAAGGTATAGTACATTTTAAAGTTTTTATAGCAATTCATGAATCCAAGACCAATATTTTTAACTCCATCACACGTCCACCACATATAAAAAAAGAACCAACATTTTTGACACTTCCAACAATCATTTGGAAATTCAGGATAAAACTTTGCTAATTTGTCTGGAGTGTAGCTATGCTCCTGCAGAGTGCAGGGGGTTGGACTAGATGACCTGCAAGTTCCCTTCCAACTCTAACATTTTATGATTCTATAATATACCATCTATAAAACATTTTATAAATATTTTCTTTAAATGAAGTTTGCTTTAGTAATCTTTACATCAGTTTTCCATACCTGTGACCACTGGTCTAAATCAATATTATGACCCAAGTTTTGTGCCCATTGGACCATGCAGTTTTTAACTATTTCATCTTGTGTTTTATTTTCTAACATTATTACATATATTTCTTAATTTCTCATCAGCATATAACAATATCATGTCTATTTCTGTAATTTTTGAATAAAAACCTATTTGCTTATCTTTGAGGTATCTTGATTCTATTTAAAGTCTTTCCCACCAACTTAAGTTGGATTCTTGTTTTTTAAGATCTTCTGTTGGTTTGCATTTTTTTGAAATAAGTTTGGGCTTGTGAACGCTTCTAGTGGTGAAAGAAGAAAAAAGAACTGGCAAACTATCTGACATCCACTTTCATTTTCTAAACGTCACTTCCTATGTGGTATAAATTCCAATCTGGTAGCGTTATGTTTTTATATCTTGTACCTACTATAATACATTATGTCCTAACGGTATTGTAAACAGTTGATCACTTTGCCTGTATAAGCTGGGAAGAAATTGTGTTTGTTCTCTGCATCATCGTCGTCGTTGTTTTGGAAATACATAAAACTGAATTTAAAGATACTAGTGGGAAGGTGTTTGAGATATTCTCTGGTTTTAATATAAAAGTTGAACATGGCTAGTGGTACAGACAAAAAAGCTTCCTGGTGCTCCATCCCCAGGGCAAGCTAAATCTGTAGGTGCTAACTTAGCACAGATTTCAACAAAAGATTTGCAAGCATTAATACAAGAGGCAGTAACACCAGCTGTAATAACAGCAGTAACAACAGCAGTTGACCCTATACAAAATAAAATAGACTCTCTTGTACAACAAATGACTCACCAGATGGCAGAGGTCCAGAAACAACTCAAAGAAAATAGTCAAGAAATCTCTGCCTTGAGCAAGGTAACAAATAAGGTGGAAAATAAATCAGAACAAATGGAGCTTAAACTAGAAGCAGTAAAATCTAAACAAATTTCTACGGAAGATGCTCTGATTAAACTAGAAATTGACAAGGCAGCTTACATTTTAAGATTTCAAAATATTCCAGAGAAGAAGGATGAAAATTTAAAAATTGAAATGAACTTGCAAAATACATGGATACAGAAGACATAGATGAAGACCATAATGAAACTGATGTGGCCTACAGAATGAACTCTGCATATGCAAAAAGATATAAACTTCCTAGAGACGTACATGTGAGATTTCACAAAAGAACAATAAGAGATGAAATTTTCAAAGCAACAAAAGAAACACCTCTCCAAATAAAAGACACAGAAATAAAAATTTTAAAGGAAATCCCATGGAGAGTGAGAGAGAAAAGAAAAGAATATGTGGAATTTACAACTATTTTGAGAAACAATAAAATTGCATACAGAAGGCTACTTCCAGAAGGTATTCTTTTTACTTACAAGGTAAAAAGATACAGAATTAACTCAATTTTCAAAGTAGAAGATTGTATCAAAACTTATGGAGAAGATTTGAAAACTGAGGAGAAACAACTAGAGAACACAGAAGAGGCCAAACAAGATTTACAAGGGGCATCAGGGACAACTGAAAAAACCACAGCAGCCAGAAAAACCTTAAAGGTTACAAAATCCCAAATCGTTACAAGACTTAAATTGAAGAAGAACAAAGAAGGTACCAAAACACAACTACAAGGAGGATAGAAGAAAAATAAAGATAATTTCAATACATGTCAACGGACTGAATGCATCCCAAAAAAGACAGATATTTCAACAATTGAAAAAGATGCAACTAGACCCATCTAGACATCATATGCATACAAGAGACCCATATAAAATACTCAGATCAAAAATATTTTGAAATTTAAAAGCTCCAAAAAGTATTTATCTTATTTATAAGGAAAAGAAAGAGGTGTGGTGACATAT